TCAAGCGATTCTCCTGCCTCAGCCTCCTAAGTAGCTGGGATTACTGGTACGCACCACCAGACCCAGCTAATTTTTGTATTTTTAGTAGAGATGGGGTTTCACCATGTTGGTCAGTTTGGTCTTAAAAAAATTTTTTTAAAGGCTGGGCATAGTGGCTCAAGCCTGTAATCCCAGCACTTTTAGAGGCTGAGGCAGGAGGACTGCTTGAGGCCAGGAGTCCAAGAACAGCCTGGGCAACATAGTGAGACCCCATCTCTATAAGTAATACTATTAATATATATATAATCTATATTATCACATGTCACATATAACATGTAATATAAGATATAGTATATGTTATATATGAATTTGCCAACCAGGTTGTGTGTGTTTGTGCACTGGCATGTGGATGGGGCCTAGACAGTCTGTGGCGAAATGCGAAGCCTTTTTAGGGTGAGTCATTCTTGGTTCAGGGCACTTCATATAATGTGGTCACCATCACTGTACTTTCTGAGATTCTCATACAGGCTGGAGAAGTCTTCAAGGAATGAGGCTTCCTTTACAATCAAAAGTATGACAGCTTTGATGGGCTCGACTGTATATGACCAAATTATTATATGTCATATGGTAATATTATATGAGATATATTATGCTATATTATTACATGTCTTATATAATAATATGTTAGTACTGTATATTGTTATATATGGAAATTTTTTTTTTGTTTTTTGAGATGGAGTTTCACTCTTGTTGCCCAGGCTGGAGTGCAGTGGTGTGATATTGGCTCACCGCAACCTCCGCCTCCCAGGTTCAAGCAATCCTCCTGCCTCAGCCTCCCTAGTAGCTGGGATTGCAGGCATGTGCCACCATGTCTGGCTAATTTTTTTTTGTATTTTTAGTAGAGACGAGGTTTCTCCGTGTTGGTCAGGCTGGTCTCGAACTCCCGACCTCAGGTGATTCTCCTGCCTCGGCCTCCCAAAGGGCTGAGATTACAGGTGTGAGCCATCGTGCCTGTCCTGTTTGTTTTGTAGCAGTAAAGTAAGTGGCAGTAGAAAGATCCATATGTATGAATGACTCAGAATTTTGGAAAATCATCAGGGAGCATCCCGACGCCTGGTAGACAATGGATAACCAGTGGTCTGGAACAGCTGAGTTGTTCATTTGCTCATGAGCATAGTAGGCTGTTCTACCCCATCCTGGAAATGATTCCAAGGGGAGCAGCAGCCATGTGGCCATGGGGACCTCATCACTGTTCGCCTTTTTATTATCAGGTAACATTATGGTCCCCATTTTACAATCGGTTCTGGCTTTCAAATCTAAAAAAAATGTTTGATGTATTTTTTGTGGGAGGGGCTGTGAAATGAACTTTCAGAATGAGGACTGTAATACAGAAAGGTCGAGAAGCTTTGCTCTGTGGTTTTGAAGGTAAATCTTTCACTTCTGCGCTTGTCTGTTCTTTTTCTTTTCTCTCAAAATTTCGGCTGCCTGACAACTAGTCAGATGGGTCAATGCCCAATACCTGAGCATGAGAAACACAGGTTTGCAAAGAGGATTCTTCATGGTGGTCAAAGGAGAGGAGGCCTGATTTTTTCTCTGCCCTATCAACTTGAGCTGTGTCTGGAGTGGATGTGAACACTTTTCTCAGTGGGATTCGGCTAGGGGGGAAGCTAACTCTTCCCCATCCTCCCACCCCGGGGATGCTAGCAGGGAAAGACTAAGAGCAACATGGTTCCCATGAAACGCAGCTCAGCTCCAAGCTGTTATTTACAACTAAGACCTATTTCCATTCTAACTTTGTATCTCTTCTCAAAAGTCCTAAGGGCTGTTGTGTTTGTGAGTTGGAATGTGGATGGGGGACTAGCCTGCGCTAGTGGGGCAGGGGAACAGGAAGCCTCTTTAAGCTGAGTCATTCTTGGTTCAGGGGACTTTGTACAAAGAGGTCACCATCACTCTACTTTCTGAGCTTCTCATATAGGCTGGAGAAGGATTCAAGGGATGAAGTTTTCTTTTCAATCAGGAGTATGACAGCTTTGATGGGCACGACCCTATACAACTTTTTTTTGACTCGCTTGAGGTTTTGTAATAATCCCTTTAGACCAAAGCACCAGCATTGTGGTAGTCTGACTTATACACAGGCCAACACCACTGATTTTTATCCTGGAGAGCTTATGATGAAATCTCGTGTTCCAGAATTTAAAATGAAAGTTCATCATATTCTTCCAACCTAATGAGGAAAACTGGCTTCTTTTCTGGAGTTTTCTTTTTGCTTTTTTTTTTAGAGATGGGGTTTCACCAGGTTGGTCAGGCTGGTCTCGAACTCCTGACCTCAGGTGATTCACCCACCTCGGCCTCCCAAAGTGCTGGGATTACAGGCATGAGCCACCACACCTGGCCCTTTTTTCTGGAGTTTTAAAAAAGTTTTATTTGATCTTGTGTTGTGTCTAGAGAAATTCAGTTCTTTTTTTTTTTTTTCCCCCAAGAGGGAGTCTTGTCTGTTGCCCAGGCCGGAGTGCAGTGGCATGATCTTAGCTCACTGCAATTAACTTCCTGGATTCAAGCAATTCTCCTGCCTCAGCCTCCCGAGTAGCTGGAATTATAGGCGTGCACCACCACACCTGGCTAATTTTTGTATTTTTAGTAGAGACAGGGTTTCACCATGTTGGCCAGGCTGGTCTTGAACTCCTGGCCTCAAGTGATCCACCCACCTTGGCCTCCCAAAGTGCCGGTTTACAGGCGTGAGCCACCACACTCAGCCTGAAATTCAGTTCTAATGAAAGATACTATCCAATTAAAAAAGGGGAAGATAGTGTTAGAAATCCTGTCACTTCTGTAGTTATTTTTAGCCAAGTCTTTTTGAACTTTCTAGCCTTCCAAAAACCTAACACCACAAGGAGAAAATACCTAGAAATCTCTTGTTTCTTGACGTTTAAGCCCATTGTCTCTTTGGGAGCAATTCATGTCGAAATTTAAGAGTATGATTAGGATCCCTGGCCTTTCTGTGGGTTTCATGCACACCGGGAATGGGGCTATGGAAACCCATGTGCTGAAAACAACTGTAGACAAGTTGGGTTGGAGAAGCTCTGGAGCAGAAAGTCCTAGCTAAAAAAAAAAAAGCAAACAGCAAAAAACCCTAGAGATTTCAATTCTCTTTTTTTCATGGAATGGAGTGGATGTATGGGTGGGGAAGAGGTAAAATAGTGGGGAAAGGGTGGGGATCTAATGACTAAGTTTAATTTGACTTTTGGAAATTTATTAACTTGTTATTGGGTTGAAGTTCTAACCTGAGATCTAAGAGTCTTCTTCAATCGTATGGATGATTTGGGGGCGGGTGAGGTGGGAGCTCCGTTAGTCATCAGATTCAGTTATCAAGAAAGCTCAGAATTGGGCAGGGAAGAGAATGTGGCTCTGTATGTGAGTGTCTTCTGCTATCTGCACCCCTGACATTTGGACTTTCTATTGTTCTCCTTGTGAGATTACACCTTCTCGCCCACCCCCCAATCACCTTTTAAGTGTCTCTGTTCTTAAATTCCTCTGGAAATAAGGCTCTCAGAGGGACAGGCAGGCAGCTACAATGTCTGGATAGCTTGCCTCCAGGTTCTCCCCCGCCAGAAGGCGGTGGAGATAAGAGTGGTGGCCACCCACTCAGCCCTGCCCTGTGGAGCCGACCAGGCTTTGTTGGCTGAGGGGACAGCTGGCCGGTGTCTGGCAAGAACAATAAGGAAGAGTAGATCAATCGGGTCGCGCAGGCTCTGACCTGCAGAACTCTTTACCGATTGCTCAACTCTTCCCTTTCTTCCACTCCAAGGGACAAAAAGGTTAGGCTTTGCGTCACAAAATTCCCCTCCAGTGGGTCTCTACCCCAGGTCCCCTTTATACAGCTGTGGAGTCTCCATGAAGACCCAGACAGATGTTCCCTCTGGTTGCCAAGTTTATGACTTTCCTAGGGACTGCCTCCCTTGTAGAGGCGGCCTCCCTTGTTGACAAGTCTAACAGCCATGCTGGGTGGAGGTGAGGGGCAAAGATAACAGGGCCAGAGAGAATCCCCCAGAGCCCTGGAAACGGCAGCTCAGCTCGAAGCTCAGTGAAGGAGGGAGTTGTTAGCAAAAGCAAAGCCTTGTGAAGGATCTGGGAGTATTTGCCAGATGAAAGGTGCAATGTTCAAAAGGGATTTCATCCTGAAGCAGAAAGCATTTAGCAGCCGTCTGACCGCTCATTTGGAGGAGGGGGAGATATTATGCCAATTAAGTCAAGACAATAGCATCTTGTTCCCCTTGCAGTGAGCCCTGATAAAATTGCCTGTCCAGGGGAAGGAAAGTATTTCACTCTCTCACCTTTGAACAAGGATAATCCTTTCTGTATTTCCTCTCTTGGGGAGGGTGTCCTTTGTTCTTTTGCTTCTGACCCATAGCTACTTCTCACGTTCAGTTTTGGGGGAAAGAACTTGGAATTTTTTTTTTTTCAGTCTCCGTAGAGACTGTCAAAAATTGCCAATGCTGACTATGTTGCAAGTCCTCACAGAGGGTTATTGGAAAAAGTTTTCAAATAGCAATAATTGTGCCTTGGAGAAACCTCATTGGCTACGATACTGCCATTGCACAAAGCTAGGAATTTTTTTTTTTTAAGTGTGTGATTAAATGACTGAGCTGTGAGACAAAGGAGGACCGATCTTAGGGATTCTGTAATCAGTAAAACCAGGAGTGATGCCATGGGGACCTCACATGATTCTCATTCCAGGCTGGGGTTGTGAACACTCTGGAAGCTCCCTTCTGTCCTTGAGGGATTCCTGCGTGGGCCCCTCAACACTGTTTTTTTTTTTTTTTTTTTTTTGAGATAGAGCCTCGTTCTGTTGCCCAGACTGGAGTGCAAAGGCACTTTCGGCTCACTGCAACCTCAGCCCCCCTGGGTTCAAGCGATTCTCCTGCCCCAGCCTCCCAAGTAGTTGGAACTACAGGCGTGCACCACCACACCAAGTCTGGCTTATTGTATTTTTAGAAGAGATGGGGTTTCACCATGTTGGCCAGGTTGGTCTCGAACTCCTGACCTCAGGTGATCTGCCTGCATCAGCCTCCGAAAGTGCTGGAATTACAGGTGTGAGACACGGCACCCAGCCTCAGCTCTGACTCTTGTGAGGCAGGTCTACTGACCATGGGCAGACATGAAACTCTGGAGAAGATCTTTTAGATTCAGGAGGCCACCAGCTACCACTCCAGAGCCCTCACTGCAGGATAGAAAGTAGACAGGGAAGTCATTGCTTTCCAGAGTCACTAAACTTGGAAACTGGGAAGAATCTCAAAGCTCATCAAGCCCAGTGTCTCCTCCATTTTACAGCTGAGGATGCGGAGGCTGGAGCCACCTGAGCGACTTTCCCAAGGTGGAACCGGAAGTCAGCTGAATGAGTCTAATACGCTTCGCAGCACACAGCGGTGCAGTTCCAGAATGTGGCAGACTCCACTGCCCAGGCACGGTGGCTCACACTGTAACCCCATTACTTCGGGAGGCTGAGGTGGGAAGATCCCTTGAGCCCCGGAGTTTGATACCCACTTGGACAACATAGTGAGACTCCTCAAAAAAAACCAGAAGTGTTATAGGTCCCAGGAATGTTAGAAAACAAAAGCAAAAGAGGCTGGGCTCAGTGGCTCATGCCTGTAATCCCAGCATTTTGGCCAAAGTGGGTGGGTCACTTGAGCTCAGGAGTTCCAGACTAGGCTGGCCAACATGGTGAAACCCTGCCTCTACTAAAAATACAAAAATTAGCCAGGTGTGGTGGTGGGTGCCTGTAATCCCAGCTATTCGGGAGGGTGAGGCAGAAGAATTGCTTGAATTTGGGAGGTGGACGTTGCAGTGAGCCAAGATCGTGCCACTGCACTCCAACCTGGGTGACAGTGAGACTCTGCCTCAAAAAAATAAATAAATAAAAGGGAAAGTTAGAAACCCTGCCTCACATAGTTCCTCCAGTCATTATGTTCTTAGCCTGGTCAGGAAGTTCCAAGCATCCTTTTATCAGTCTTCAAAGTTGTTTTAATCATAAACTGTCTTTCACTGTGGGATGAGAGCCTTCCTAGTACTAGTGAGGAATGTCTATGTTAGTGTCCTCCTCCTCTACGGTGACCTCTTCCTTCAGGTGAAAGGCAAAGATCTCGCCTTTTCTTAGAATGGCCAGTGATGAAGAGCATCTTTTCCAAACTTTGGTTATCGCCTTGTTACGGTCTCACCTCTAAAGGAGTGGTAGAATCAGGCTTCAGGATTCCCTGCTGGCCACGGGTTCTCCTCTCCTCATTCTGGGCACTGGAGGCAGGTGACCCAAAGGGAGAAATGGAAGCTGGTCTTCATCCCACCGCAGAGGGAACCATTTCTGGGAATACACTGGATATATTTCGCTCACTATTGATATTTTAATGGGAGTAACAGCTTTCCTGAGGATCTGACCATAGGCATCAGTGTCAACTATCGTTGTGATGTGAATTGAATGTCCAGAAAGGTTGAGTTTTTTTTTTTTAAATAGAGTATCACTCTGTTGCCCAGGCTGGAGTACAGTGGCATGATCGTAGCTCACTATAGCTTTGAACTCCTGGACTTGAGTGATCCTCTCACCTCAACCTCCCAAGTAGCTGAGACTATAGGCGTGTGCCACCATACACAGCTAATTTTTGCAGAGACAAGGTCTCTCTGTGTTGCCCAGGCTGGTCTCAAGCTCCTGGGCTCAAGTGATCCTCCCACTTCAGACTCCCCAAGTGCTGGAACTATAGGCATGAGGCACTGTGCCCAGCCAAGGTTGATTTTTGAATATGCAATTGGTTGGGAGCTTAATACTACTAGTGAGGGTGCAGCATGTGTGCGTGTGTGGATGTGTGGGGGGGGTGTGCGTGTGTGTGCGTGTGTGTTTAGTGGAGAGTAGGGAGGAGGATACTGGCCTGGTCCTAGACTAAATCTTTTGGGAAGGACATTTATTGGAAATGTTAGTGGGATGCATGCGGAGCTTGCAGAATTTCCTGTCTAATAGTGGAAGTTCTTTGAGCTGGTAAGCCTCAGAAATCAAGCCCCTAGGGCTGCCTCACTCAGCCCTCAGTACTTTAGTCATGGCATGCTTGCTGCCCATGATTTGGAGAACATCTTGAGCCCTCCTAGAGCATTGATCTACTTTTCATGATTCTGTCTGTCAGCACACACTGATGCATTTCCTTGTCCCGGGTCCCTCTGCTCTGTTTCTGAAATGAAAGCGGACCAGGGGTTGTTAGGCCATGTAGACTTCTCCATCTTTTATTCTTAGCTATTCTCTCTCATCAGAAAATGATAAAATATCTGAGATCCCAACTTTACTTTTATTTGGAGTTAAAAATAAGTTTGATACTTCTGATATTAAGAGGATAGAAAAGAGGCTGGGGGTGATGGCTCACACCTGTAATTGCAGCACCTTGGGAGGCCCAGGTGGGCAGATCACGAGGTCAGGAGTTCCAGAACAGCCTGGCCAACATGGTGAAACCCTGTCTCTACTAAAAATACAAAAATTAGCTGGACATGGTGGTATGTGCCGGCAATCCCAGCTACTGGGGAGGCTGAGGCGGGAGAATTGCTTGAACCCGGGAGGTGGAGGTTGCAGTGAGCCAAGATCATGCCATTGCTCTCCAGCCTGGGTGACAGAGTGAAATTTCGTCTCAAACAAACAAACAAACAAACAAAAAAACAAGAGGATAGTAAAGAATAAAAGATGGAGAAGCCTTCTGCCTCACAATTCCCTGAGCGGAGGGACCCCAAGACAGGGAAGTGTGAGTGTAGAATCAGAGCTGGAGGCAACATGTGTGTGACTTCCGTTCATCATCCTAGCCTTGACCTCTTCATTCCTCAGACTTCTCCAGAGAGGAAAACAGCAGTAGTGGGGAGGGTTGAGGGGAGGTTATGGTTGAGGGAGGTCAACCCCTGCAGCTAGCGAAGGGGTTTTGAAGGTTATTTCTAGGACACTCCTAGCATAGGCACTGGCAAGAGCACCAAATTGCTCAAGTATGGGCCAAGCTGTTACCATTCATTAGAGGCCTATGTGAGGACCCAAATAGCCTAACTGGAGTTGATTGACTCTCCTGGCAGACAGAACCACTCCCATTTCCTTTATTTTCATTCTTTGTTGAGAGTTGGGGTCCCATTCTGTCACCCAGGCTGGAATTCAGTGGCATGATCATAGCTCACTGCAGCCTCAAATTCCTGGGCTCAAGCAATCCTCCCACCTCAGCCTCCCGAGTAGCTGGGACTACAGGCACATGCCACCATGGCGGGCTAATTTATTTTATTTATTTTTTTGCAGAGATTAGAATCTCTCTATGTTGCCCAGGCTGGTCTCCAAGTCCTGACTTCAAGTAATCCTTCTGCTTCAGCCTCCCAAAGTGCTGGGATTACAGGCCTGAGCCACAGTGCCCAGCCCCACTCCAATTTTCGAAATCTTTCAGAATTTCAGGTTGCCTTAAACTGCCAGAAAAAGCCGCTGTAATACCTCGACATATCAGTGCCACGCAACACCACGCAAACCATCTTCAAACCTCTGCCCCCTGGCATGTGACTGGCCTGCATTTCAGGAGGTGAAAGATCAGACCTTTGTTAATTGTTAAAGCACTCAGGAACCCAGAAATAAACATGCATGCCGAAGTTGATTTGAGAACTAAAGGATATCTTTCAATTTCAATAAATGTGATAAAAATAAACAACATCCTTTCATAAATTTAATGGAGCATGGCTCTGTGTTTATCTTGTGTCATGTACTTGAGATTACACCATTGGAAGAAGAAAATACTTGATTAATGCAGGGAATCTATTTTGTCATCTGCAGTGGTTGGAAAATATTTTTCTACTTCCTACCATGCCCTTTTTTAGCTTCTGTAAGGAAGTTATTAATGGTGCATGTTACAGTATTAGAATGCAGCAGCTTCTAATGAGAAATTCAAGATTCCTAGGTTGCAGCACTCTCCTATTTGGTAGCTGGTTATAAAAGAATTCCATGTTCTTTTTTCTTCCACCCAGTGGCTGAAGAGTTTTACTTAGGGTATCATGATATCCGAGAATAATAACAACAATACTAGTAATAATAACAATAATACTATCAAATATATCTGACACATATCCAAGCGCTAGACAAAGCACCTTTTATAACTTTATTTTTTTAAGACAGAGTCTCACTCTGGAGTGCAGTGGCATGATCTTGGCTTACTGCAACCCCTGCCTTCTGGGTTCAAGCGATTCTCTTTCCTCAGCCTCCCCAGTAGCTGGGACGATAAGCATGCACCACTATGCCTGGCTACTTTTTGTATTTTCAGTAGAGATGAGGTTTCATCATATTGGCCGGGTTTCATCACTTCTGGCCTCAAGTGATCTGCCTGCCTCAGCCTCCCACAGTGCTGGGATTACAGGCATGAGCATCGTGCCTGGCCTTTATAAACTTATGTAGCCACACGGTCTTATGAGGCGGAACTGTTGTCACTCATTTTACTCATCAGAACCTAAGACTTAACCTAAGAGGTTAAGCGTCTTGTTACACGTCACACAGCAGATAAACAGTGGAAGATGGGATTTAAGCAGTGTTTACTCTCTCGATTGAATGAACACATCAGTTGTGACAGCGAT